AGTTCGCCTTATTTTCCTTTGGTTCGCTTGACCGTCGCCTTCTCATTCAACGTCTTGCTGTTTATGGCCTAGGATTCGACGTGGTAAACGTTCTTGTCAACTACTTCTCTTTTAGGATTTACCTTATGCAATGGTAAAACGTCGTCGTCTTCTTATTTTAACTCTGGTATCTTCCAGGATGCCATTTCGTCCCCCCTATTTTTTCCCCTGTACATAAACCACCTACCTGCTTATCTCCACCAACTTTATTGCCTGTAAGTATTCGGACGATGTGGTGATTGGGTGCCCCTCCAATACTGATACTTCTTTCCACCAACTTCAAAGCAGTCTGAATGACGTTTCTAGTTGATCTCTACCCCGACCACTCATGGTTAATGTTTCCAAACGTGTCGACGTTCTCATCAGCCTTAAATCTGGTTCCCGTTGTCAAACTACCTTTAATGATTTGCCGGACCTCGTGGTTAAGCAGTCACAGCGTTCCCAAAGCTGACTGGTAAATACCTCGTTCTATCCCACAATCTCTTTTGGATCTTACATGTAGAGAACATTGACAACAAAGTTCGTAAACTTTCTTTCTATGCTCCCAGGCTTGCTGTTCCCTCAGACGTAATTGTCAAATTTCTGGTAGCATGCATCCTCCCTCATTGGCTGTGCTGTTCCCCTGTGTGGCCTGAAAGAAAAAGATTTCGTATTAATTTCCAGGTCTATTTAAACTCTTCTCGGGATGTAGCGGTGTAACCTGGTTGATTTTTTTGTGTACAAACACGTCGACACATGTGAAAGAATAAACCGATAGAATCTTGAACAACGAAGGTCACTGATTGCACAACAAACATTGAATCCATGTCAAACTCCCTACCGGCTCCCATTATACGCTCCTTCCCGCACGCACCGTCGCATACAGAAACAGCATCCTCCCTTCTCTTGCTTGCGTTTTTTATATCGGGCACCAATTATTACAGGTCTGATTGAACACCTCATGAGTTAGTTTGTTTATTCATTTTTGTTTAATCCTTCACTATCATCTTCCTTTTTGCAGTTTTCTATCGTTTTTGTTTAACCTATTCACACTGATGTCACTCCACCCCACCCCAACCCTAAATTTCACCCTTCGGGTGCATAAAGCTTACTTTGATTTGACTTAACCAATAAGATACTTTTGTTAAAAAACAGATGTGGCGAACAAGCTTGGTTTCAGTGCTTTATCTACTGGCCAAGTACAGCATATTATATAACTCGGAAATAACAGAGGGATACAGTCAACTCAGAGTTTTAGTGTGTGTAAAATGGACGTTCAGGGGTTGGGAGAGAGAGAGAGAGTTGTTTTAACACCGACCGCATAATTGGTGATAATCATTTGCGGAGTGTGAATATTCGACTGATATTGTGTTAGGTGGGGACAATTCGGACACACGGCCACGGAAGGGATTTAACGAACTGTTTGTGTGCACATAATGGGTGTTTGTTTATTCTAATTGCTATCTCCTCGACTGTAGATAACAATCGAGTTTTCACATCCTTAGACTGGATCCCCGTCAGTAAATAGATCGGACGGAACGATTCCCGCACATCGACAGTGTGAGTCGTCTCGGCCAGATGTATAGCAACCACACTCGCATCTGCCTTTATCGGTCCCCGGCTGAGCCAAGCTGTGTGGTGTTCTCTCATCCGATCGGCCAGGCTTCTGGTGGTGCGACCCACGTAACTTGGGCCACAGGAGCACGTAAACTGGTAAACACGGAAAGAGGTCATCTCCATCGAGAGTAGAATATGCGCGACTCTGTTGAGATATAACTATTTTCTATTACATTCCTCAGCCGTTTACTCATTGTCCTCGCAAGGGTCTCACCTTTAAAAGACAATGAAGATACTTTTGCGTGCAGTTAACACGTGATCAAAGAATCAGAAACATTCCTGATGTGAGTTTTGCCACTAGCAAGCCGTGTCGCGGTGGCCGAGTGGTTAAGGCGTTGGACTCGAAATCCAATGGGGTTCCCCCGCGCAGGTTCGAATCCTGCCCGCGACGCCCGGCCTTTTCCATCACTGCTACTGTGCTAATGTACTGTCCCTCTTTGCTCTTCATTCCGTTTCGCCTACTCCTTGGAAAACGTTTGCCGGGGACCCATTTTTCATTCCGCTGTCGGGTTCAATTATTTTTACACGAAAATTTATACCGTGAAAGATAGAATACAAAAATCTGAAATTGGTTTGTGTTAACATTTTATCTGATAATGGTAATTTGTTTACATGTTCACTCATTTTTTAAAATTGCGAAATATCACTATCTCTTCTTGTGGAACTAATAGCGTATTTCATCCTGGAAATATTTTTGGTGTCAGTACAAACTTCTTTGCCTAGACCAACAGGTCGGAGTCTGTCTAGAATTGTGGAAATAGATGGAACTCGTGTGATCAAATGTCAATATGGACTTGGGAGACCATTGGAAACGGTTTGGGTTTAGCGTGATATGTAACAGAACTAAAGGAAACAGAGGCGTACCGGAGCCGGATAAAATGGATACTGAGGGCAGTTTTCGGCTCTGTCACGTACAGGAGGTGGGACCATTTGGACTTAGTTCTGTAACGGTATTAGTTTCACTTTTCACCCTCAAAAATATAGACGGATATGGAAACTTTCTTGAAATACATCAGTCAACTTTGTCACGTCGATTATTTTGTATATTTTTCACTTTAATACATCTTAGTCACTTTCTAGTCCTCTAAAATAACATTCCAGTATAAGTACCTTCATGCTACTTATCAATAATCATTATATTATTGCGATTTTTGGCTGGGTGTGTGTGTGGGCGGGAGGAGGCGACTGTCGTTCAGGTCTACCGATTTATCAAAGTTTTCTAACCGCAGTGTGACATGATATATTGTTAACCCGGTTGTAAAATAGCCATAACTGTGGCTCGTCTTTCCTATACAAATTCCAATTTCCAGGCCCATGTTCCGTGTTTTGTGATTTGACGTACCCGGTCAAAGCTGTAAGCATGGTCGTCAAACATTTTACCTTTGACATCATCCGAAATGTGGGCTATTTTACTACTCGGTTACGCAAGCCACCAGGCAATTGGGCTGAGGCTCTGAATTCACTTAGTGTAGCCCTCGGTAGATGAGGTGAACGAATTTCCACAATTCATGCAGCTACATCTTTCCTGGTGAAATGACGCTGGATAAAGTATTAACATGCACTTAGAAAGCTCTGTTTGCGTTTCCTACTTTGGGATCAACTTTGATTCCTCTATGTTATTTTGCTATTTCTGAATGACCGCACATATCGTGCAATAGTTTGAGCGGTGCCATTTTTACTGCACTATGGTTCAAAGATGGAGACAGATTTTTGGTGCTCAAACAACGCTGTCTTTTGGACGTGGTTCACAAAATTTAATGTATCCAATCGAACCAGTGACCTTAATATCCAAGAATCATATGTGCTCACCGCGAGGGTTTAGACTTAGTCTTCCCCAAGTCTGCGAAACGAGCTATTTCCGGGAATCTGTCAGCTATAGTCTCCTCATTTCCATGAATGCACTCACTATAATTAGGCTAACTGGCTTTGCAAATCCTCATAATTAAAGTGAGTGATTAAAGGATTATTCACGGATATTCATTGACTCGTTGCTTTTACCAACGGGTCAGGCATGGCAATCTAAAATTCCGAAAAATATCCTTGCGGGATCTATCCATCTGAGTGTACGCATTCAGTCACACGTGATTTAACCCTTCTGCAGTGTTTTGAGCGCCATTTTTGTTCGGCGTTTTTGGAACTTTTTGATTTTTTCACAATCAAAATGTCACTACTCGTGAGTAGTGTATATAAGATAGTGAAACATGCTTACAGTGTAGCGAAATGTATCAAGGAAGATCGGTTAATTCGTAAAAATTGCAAGGTAGTTTTCATTCTGTATTTCAACATTATTCTGCAGGATAAAAATCCTGTTTCATTTGATGGACGATAGGCACCCATCCTCATCATTGATCCGCATCATCGTACAGAGACGTGTAGTGAAACACACTTGATTATCGCCATCTTTAGATCCATTAATTTATCCATTATACTTTCTGTCAAATGAACTATTATAAGTGCGTAAGCGTTACATAAAGATTTTTTCTTCATGATTCGTCGATTCATGTGCATTACGGAGTTCCGTTTTCTTTGTTCTTTGGCAGCTGAGAATAACACTAGGGATAGACTCAATTCACGGACGTGCTCAAACACTCATTTTTCTCTACAGTTACGCTTCTTAGATATTCTGAGCTGGCGCACTTAAATCTGTTTACGGTGAGATTTGATTGGATCCTTCCGTTGTTCTAAGTACAAGTTTTTGAGTTACGTGTAGGTGGTTAATGTTGTTTTAAACCTGAAGGTCACGCTTATGTCGCCTAATCTTATCGCTCATTCAAATACCGAATTGATTCGTGCTTTGCAACTCCTCAGGAATTGTGCATCTGGATTTGAAGCCACAAAATTTCGTTCTGGTTGATGGCGTGCTCAAGCTGATCGATTTGGGTATTAGTCAACGTCTACCAGATGACTGTACTCGAATTAACGGTGCCGTTCCACTGGGTACGCTCACCTTCATGAGTCCCGAACAGTTGGGCGGACCGGAGCAGAATATTACCCAGTCGAACCAGTGGTGCAGTCCCGAGGCTGAGAAAGAATCCCGACTTACGGCAAGTGAATTTTGTTATGACGATATTTATCCATGTCATCATAAACAGTATATGAATGACTTGATAAATTTGCCCTGGAAGCACGCGGCCTGTTTAGCAGTGCTTGCCGTTCTTGAGGCCTGCCTATCCGATAATCTTTTGTCGCTTCGTGTTTGTTGCGGTTCGTGGCATCCAACCAATCCACAAAGCATCAATGGACCGGCCCTGAGAGAGCTCCTCATCCTGAATTACCCGGTATTCCAAATGGGGTTGTTCTGCTGTATACAGGTGTTGAGCAAACTCATGCAACATCACTTTCATTTCGGAAATACATTTCAGTCCCCAATGTCATACTTTTATATTGATGGCTATGGGTAAAATGTATTTTCTTTCAATAGTCAATATATTATTACGATTTTTGGCTGGGTGTGTATGGGGGGGGGGAGGCGACTGTCGTTCAGGTCTACCGATTTACCAAGGTTTTCTAACCGCAGTGTGACATGATATATTGCTAACCCGGTTGTAAAATAGCCATAACTGTGGCTCGTCTTTCCTATACAAATTCCAGTTTTCTATCCCAAATCTGTGTTCGCTGTACGATGATGGTGATGATGAAATCTGTGTCCTTACTTCTCTCCTATCCCCGTTTGAATGGGCGCGACTTTGAGTGTTTCGATACAATTAATAGTAGTTTAAAAGTTGCAGTTGAGTAATTCAGTATGCGCTGAAGCTGATCTACTGAGCTAGTTTTCTAATGAACTTCGTTTTACCTGTCAAAAGAAGCAAATATTCATCCCACCTGACGAGTTAGGACGGAAGTAAATACTGAAAGTCTTGTTATTGATCTCCTGCACACAGCAATCTGGATATCGCAAAATGTTGTGCACTGATAAGGGAGGTTTTCGGTAACTGCTACTCTTTAAATGCATTCGCGGAAGTCATATTTTTCACAGATGAAGGTTGGTATATCTTCTCTTTTGCGGTTGGCAGTAAAAAACGGTTAGACCTAATTAAATATCATTTTTTTCAAATTTATGCAATCCCTCCACAGTGGTTTGGGTGCTGGGTGTATCAGAGGAAACTGGCAGATTGTGTTTGGTGGTCAACTTGGTGGACTCCATGCTAAGGCTACTGCCTCCAGTGATCAAAAATGACGAAAATGGAAAATGGAACATGAGCGAGATGAAAGTAGAATACCTGTATGAAGTCTATGAGTCATTGTAATGAATAAATTCTAGTTACGTTTTCTACTATGACTTGGTTACTTTACAACTGATGCACCAGCAGCCATCGGCAAACCGCGAAACCATACATTTTAATGGTATGTGACTGATGGTAGCAAAGACATAAGTGGATAATATATCAGATATGTTGCGTTTGATGTGGGACAATGTCATATTCAATATATATATATATATATATATATATATATATATATATATATGTATATATATATATGGAGCAAAATAGGCATGCTAAAGCACTCCTTGCTGGAGATAACTTATCATCCATCGTTTTTATCCTGTGCTGAAATGAAAAATGGCTGTTATTTTTAGCCATCCATCAGCAATCCGAATGAACGTTGTTAGAGTGAAAATTTTCTGACACGGTAGCCTTCTAAAGTGAATAATCTAATTGGTTTGATCTGATCTATCTGCTGGTGCACATGAACTTCATTGTTGATCTTTCAGTTCGATTATCCTCTATTTTTGTCATTTTGGACGACTTGATTGACGAAAAGCAAATGTAATCAGTCAGTTTTACGATTCCACTGTTGACGATGCTGATACTGAATGCATACAGGTCGCCAAATTGCCACGATAATTGCAGGTCATCCATGTCATGCACGTAATACGTGATTTAATCATATCATTGATTGAATAGACTGCTCGTTTAACCAGTCATTTGTGAGTGTGTGAGAGAGAGACCGAGCAGATAGTTGAAAGTGAAAAGTTCCATTGTCACGTTAATAACATGGTCATCAACAGAAAAGTAGGTTCTGTTGCTGATCGTTTGTTGGGACAACATTGGTTCTGTGTGGAAGAGCAGTGACACCGTGGCCATATTTCACTGGCCCCCCGAAACAACTGAGTGCATATGAATGACGAGATGTGTACCGCCGGTCGGTCGTAAATCTTTAAGGCTGTCTCATGCACTCACTGCATCAGTTCTCAATTTATGCAACCATTGAAATTGCGCTTTTGAGCGCTGTTTTGGCCACTCGTTTGATGATGGGGAAGAAGGAAGAAATAAATAAATGGGAGTGATATAAAAATGAAAATAGGCAATCAGATAGAGTAAGATTGTCCCGTATCAGATGAGTGAGTGCACTACATCGGATCCCATGACAGAATTCAAGATTTTTCTGACCCGGGATGGATCATCATCATCGTTTCCCGAAACTGGAACAACACTCTGCGATCTGCCCAACCCAGGCACTGATTACTCACTCTACTGTCTATTTTCGTCTGTTTGTGGAAATTCACTATGCATGACAACACGCCGTGTAAGGGAAACTGCCGTACAAGTTTGCTGTAGATTCCCGTTCAAGCGAAGCGGAGAATAGCGAAAGTTGTGTTATCTACCTGTTGCGAATTTCCACCTAGTTGAAATTGCGTTTACGAGCTCTTAGTGCTCATTCCACATGGTGTATTGTTTTGGGGGGATGCTGTTTAATTTCATCAAAGTTTTATTTCATCTTTGTTGTTTTTCCCCGATTCGAGACATTAATCTCTCTCTCTCTCGCTCACACACACACACACACACGCTATCATTGTTCTTTCCTTCTACAGGTTGGTCGCAAATCTGACATCTGGTCCCTTGGTGTGATGCTGTACATGATGGTCTATGGTCGACCCCCGTTTCCACAAACCACAGTGCAGAGTCGCATGCTAGCCATTATTAATCCGCATGCGCCTATTGAAATGCCCCAGATCAGTAATACCGGTCTTCACAAGGTGAGCATAGTTGTGCTACCTCTCAACACACAAATAATAATAAATTACCCTAATAATAATTATTGTTAGAATAACACGAGATCCATGGATCAAACGGATCTCTCTGAAAAACTTTGGTGTCGTGTTTATGATTATTGAAGAAATTTGCTTGTCTTAGCCATGACGTATTTATATATATATATATATATATATATATATATTATATNTATATTTAACACGGGCTTGAGATCAAGCTTTGTGCCAACGCCAGAACAATATTGACAACAATAATAACGAGCGGGGGGGTAGGGTACAGATTATAGGGAAAGAATGTAGCTGTCAGAATAGGAGATTACGAATAAAAGGAATAACAATTTTTTGGTGTTTCACCGCGCACTTTTTGAATTTTTGTTGTTGTTGTTTTTACGAGGTACGAGATTTCGAAATGACGTATACATATGTCTATATCCCTTCACGTACGTATTGATCAAACTCGTGCAACACCAAGGTGACAATACAAAATGAATACTGACAATTTGCACATCTCCAGTTCATTGTCCGAAGGCCAATACTCGCGTTTTTGTACTATAGTTTGCTCCTTATGATGAGAAATATTATGAATTGTGGGTGTTGAGCATCGTGGATGTTCATTCTTTCTAAGAAGTGATAATTGTTTCATGGGCGTGTGTATTCTGTTCAATCTGTCTTATAAATAGTATACGTTTTCCATACAATACGAAATAAATGTACCGTTAGATAATGGTATGTTAGCATAATTTATTTTAATAATTGTGGCTACAAATGAAGGAAGTTCCAGAAAAACGTGAAAACCAGGCTTCGAGGTGTGCTGCTAGTCACTATCCACTTTATAATGTCGTCACACCCAATCTGTATGAAAAATCCAAAAGTTTTCGGCCTAAAGGAGAAAGGCGCATAAATTTGACGACTTGTGCAGATGCTTCATCGTGAATAGAAGCACAATTTATCGCATAATCTAAGGAATTTCTCCACCAATATATCCATGCGAAGGAAGAAAACGAACTACGTCAAAGCAGCACGATGATTACATAAGGTGTCAGCTGAAAAACTGCAAGTAACTAATGTCGAAGATAGTCCGGGCGGATTTGCCGGAACTTTCGTATGCCATCGTTAGAAAAGGAGAGCAAGTAATCAGTTTGTCAACGAATTCCAATCACGTCGCCCGACACTTTGATGTTCAGTTTATTTCACCGACTAATACCCGATGTTTGAAGAGCAAGTCACCAGGTGGAGCAAGGCTATCGATGGACATAGTTTTCCAAAGAAATCACTCTCCCCGTTTATGAAAGGAAATATCCCTCCACCTAATGATTTGGGTGGCTTTTAACTACAGGGCATCTTGTCGTTGCGCATTGTTACATGGCACCTTGAACAGTGCAGATTTTGTTGCACTGATAAAGGTTTTTCACGTACTGGCCCTCATAATGCCTTTAGAATAGCCATACTTCTACAAAATAATGCTCTTTGTCACACATTGTTCACTCAAACAGTAGTTGAAGTGGCTGGTTGGAAAATTGAATTTATTTATTTATTTAATGTAATCGAAATGTGTTGAAGACAGATGAGTTACTTGTCTGGAGAGTGGTCACCGGAGACCAGGATGCTGTGTATACTTGAGGAAACAGACAAAAGTTGATGGACTCCATGCCGAAACGACTGACTCCCGTGCTCCAGAATAATTGATACCCCATAGAGTATTGAAAAGATCAAATTACCATATGTATACCCTGTATGCCAATTGGAGTGGTGGTGGCGCAGTGGTTTAGTCGCTGTCACAGACGTGCTTTGGATCCTATGGTCCGAGGTTCGCGCCCTGCCACCCAACTTGGGTGATAGGCAGCTGTGCTGTCGTCCGATCCAGTACCACACCTAACCTATCGGGGCCTTGCGACTTTGAGGCTTTCTCCGTGTGCTGTTTATTACGCGAAAGTGTGAAATAAAAAAGTCATCTTCGTGAATAAATTTTTATGATTTTTTCTACATATATTTCTAACTTATGATCGATGCTCCAGAAACTCTCCAGAAATTGTACACTTTTAAGGTGTTCGACTAAAAGGAACAATAGTGGATACGATCATAGGAATTTTGTGTGATGTAGGGGTAATACTAAACACATACTCGTGCATGACGATCAAAACGTTAAGCTATGAGATAAATAGATATGAGAAAAGTCGTGCTGTTCCACAAGTTTCCGACATCGATGGGTTCACCTCTCCTACTGATTTTCACTTTGAAGCGTGCAATAAATTGAATAGGATGCAATTACGCAAAAGCTATTTCAAGATTTGCGGTGGGCAAATTTCTTGGTGACCTTTGTTTATCTGGTTAAATGAATATTTGTTATTCGATTAGACATCAGGTTAAGTGTGATGCACCAGACTTGTTGGTGATGCGTGTAAAGACATCGCATGCCCTTTATGATAGATTCTATCACACACATTGGTGTTCCGAGTTATCGCGTGACCTTAGGTTTTGCATATTCCACTCATCTGTCACGTGTTTATTCCCCAATCACTTCGCCTCATTCCCTCCTGTCGCCACTTATCATCCATTTTGTGCAGGCTCTACGACGGTCTTTGGTGCGCAATTTTCACGAGCGTGCAACAATCGATGAGTTGCTCTCGTTCACATACATCTGATTGACCGACCGCTGTCTTCCAGTTGCACTGTATTTCTTCCTCCTCCTGCTCACCCGTCTGTTCGTCTCTGCACGGCTTTTTGGTCTCGTCACCAAATAACATTCCTGCCTGTAGACGATAGTGTACAGCTTGAACTTTCCTCCAACCGAGTGGGCTTCAGTGTTTACATCTTCTTCTCGCCTTACTCTCAACAGGCTCCCATCTCCTTTTTCTCTATCTCTTCACCCCCTTCCCACCAATGTTGATCATCATCATCTTAATCATTATTAGCTTTTTTATTTGAACACAAACTCGCTCATTTACTGAAACTTACGACTTACTATGTATATCGAACAAAATACACTATTTTGCTTCAACTTATACGCGTCAACGATCTTCCGTTGTTTGTATTGCTTTCCACGGTGCCACATCTCGGTGGCTGTATAGGTCTCTCGCGGAGAGAACAAAAACGTACTGTTCCACCGAAAGTGCGAATTCTGGAGCTCACGAGGCTGAGGCGTAATAATTTTCGTGCGGCCAATGGCTAGGTTTATTAATTTCTATAGTGTCATAGCATTGTAGATTGTGGAATGGAAAAAATATTGTGGAACGATTGTAGCTTGGGATGTGGATATTGTTGTTGTTGGTGGTGGTGTGTTCTCCAAGCTGGGAGTGTGTTGTTCGCAGACGTTTCGTAGCTACACTAAGCAACATCATCAGTGCAGCCTGAGGAAAGTTGCAGTGATGATGATGGCTTCCCATCCGGATGAACGTGTAAAGGGAAGATTGGAATGTTCAAATCAGTGCCAGAGTGAGAAAAGAGAATTAATGAAGAACAAGTTTTCAAGGAAATTGTGTAGATTCACGAGCACCACTGTTTACGACACAGCGATATCGCTCAGTGTCTCTAGCCATTGATCACGTCGATCCCTATGTCCTCATCCAAGAAGCCTAACGGGATCTATGTGAGTAAGTTGCCTGGAAACGGCTGACCACGAATTCCCTTTTGACAAAATACATGACCCGTTTCGTGTCTTATTTCAAACTCGATAGGCACCAGTAATCTCACAGAAACCGGGTTTAAAAATCCCGGTCCTTTCAACGTTCCCGGGGAGCGTAAATATTCGGTCAGTTTCTGGGTCGGGCGCTGTACAGTGCGTTTGTTTGGTACACAATTACGTAATCGATGTGTGGTAGCGTTTGATCAAATAGATGTAGAAGTCATGCAATGGTGCTAGATTTACAACACAATCGTTGTGGGGATCGATGGTAGTTGTTATGTTCCATTTGACTGCATAGCAACAACAACAGTTACACAGGCAGCCACTGAGCAATCGGGGTGGGGGTGTGGGTGGGTGGCGTAATCACGCAGGCAGGCAGGCAAGCA